ATTATCTTTAGTCCTTACTGTTTGTTGCTCCAAATGGACTTATATCTTTTGATTAGTTTTTGGGTGTTTTCGTGTGAATGGGGCTCTCAAGTTTTAAGGAAGGTGATGCCCCTTTCTTTGCTAGCTATCCATTGCTCATCGTTTGCTTGCTTAAATCCATGCATTAAAAGATTTTCTTTTATTTCCATTAAAAAGAAGGCAATCTTTTTGTTCATTGCATTTTACTTAAAAAGAAAATATTTTATACTAATAGATTTGCACCCATAATTATGTGTTCCAAACCATAAGATGTTATAGCACTCGGTGCACCACTCATCATGATGTCCTATCAATTAGCATTAAACATAAGAACTCGATCATAGACATCCAGACCATACACTTCTCGGTTGATGGGCAAGGATCAAAATCCCACCCAACAGACACTCGCATCTTAGCTTTATTTAGGTCCGAAATGGTGAACGCAGGGTTTCAAGTCTAATTTGATGGAGAACGAACAACAACAAATAAGAAGCTCAAGAAAAGATTGAAAGGTACTCTTTTAGCAGATTCTGGTTATTAATCCTGACAATGTGATGGTTTCTTTCTTGATGAAGCCTAATCGGAGCTCAAGTTCTACTGTAAACATCTACTACGCATCTTATGCAATTTCGAATCAAAAGAAGCAAATAAAGAACATCTATGCAAAAGTAAAAGAAGGCAGTATCACAGGCTACTTGAGATAAAAAGAAATTAGATTAAACTGATGAATGAAATGAAACCTGTACATGGTTATTGTTACTATACCAACAAGGAGCTATTTATTGGACTCTCAGAACTCCAAAAGACTACTAGACGATTCCGTTTCCTAAAGCACCAAACAACTCATTAGAAGAAAAAGATTAATTAATATCCTTCATCACTTAATTCCTGCATTGTTAGTATGAACACAGAAAAAAAAAAAACCAAAAACTTCTAAGGGATGTCTTCACATACTTGTTGCCATCTTCGGTCCTATAATATCAGTCCTGATACCGTTGAGGATACACCAAGCATGCAACTCCGAGACACTTGTTTCCCAGGTTAAAGATCTTCAGGCAGCAACATGATTCTCTTCACTGTCATTCAATTTTAAAAAGAAGCTTACTTTAATGCTTAAAGGATCCTGAGTTCGTGTCGCTGTTCTAGGATAAGAGAACAGAATAAATCACATTGGAATATTTTCCAACGAATATGCATCGAAAAACTCAGGATCATCCTGCTCAATGCCTTCTTGCTGCTGAAAAAGCATAAAATGTTACGAGGTTAGATGCAATCTCCCAAATTTGTGACTGTAAAAAAAAGGAAATGTTATGTGCAACTGAAATCAGAAAACGTCATCATCTTATGCCACAAAATTATCATGAATTTGGTATAGGTTTGAAACTGTATAATACATGTATCATTTTCACATGGACAAAAATCTAGACTGAAATGTTGTACATTAGATTACGAGAACAAAATTGAAATTTGACTGATAGGTACCCTTATTATGTAGCACTTCATTTTTCTGCATGAGTTGTGTCACATATGTTGATTACACTTTTTTTTTTGCTTACAATGAATCAAAAGCCACTAGAGGTTCAGATTAATCTTTGCTTCATATCTTCAATCTTTGCCGATCATATGTGGATAAAAATCGAAACTAGTTAGCACAAATGACTCGATTTTACTGTTAAACCAGAAAAATCTATACAATATTTGCCTCTTGTATATTACTCAACACCAGAACTGTGAATGATCTCACTGAAAGTCAAAATAGAATCCATAAGCAATATCATTATGCAGAACTTTTTATCAGCCAACTTGTCTTTTATGTTCTAAACAAAGCTGGCTTGTTGAATTATTATTTATTAAGAACTTTGGTTCCAAAATTTGGTGGACAGAGTTCAATACGGAAGTTGTTAATAAAATTCAGACAGTTTATTTGTAGTCTTCTTGAATTGGAACCATTCTATAATAGTCTATTGATGTGAACATGATTGAACAGTGATAATTATGTTGTATCAAAATGAAGATGTTCTAGAAGAAAACTAACCTGCTTTCCAACATCCATGAGATCATTCGAAATAATATTATCATACAATACTTCTTGATGCTTGATATCAGGCATGCTTTCAGACTTTAATCTGATGGAGTTCTCAACTAGGATGGTACTATTGCGTTGAGCAACACATTCAATTTTCTCATTCTCAATTTCTGTTGTTACTGAGAGTATCTCCTTTCTTACTGTGCATGTATTCCTACTACTTTCATCTTGTACGGTAGCTATGGAATCTTGATGTGCTACAAGTGAAGAACCAAAATCAGCATTATTTTGCTTGGGAGCAAGGTTTTGACCTGACTGATATGAAATATTAACAGTCTTTAATTTCCAGTCTTGAGTTTTGTTCTGACGAAGTTCACTATAGATATTACAGTTTGAAAGGTCAGTCACTCCCTTAAGGCTGCTGGTATTGCTTAATGCTTCTACATTTCCAGTTGTTGGTGTATCTCCAATGCTACTAGCAAGAGGATAATGACTTGCAGCTGATTCAGTTAGGCAGCTATCATGGATATTGTTAGCATAGAGAGCTTCAGGGACTGAACTATATGAAGCACTAATGTGATTTCCAGGCATGGGTGTTTGTGCAATATTAGCAGTCCTTCCTGATATATGACTTGAAATATCATTCGGAGACATTTGGTACCCAAATTTTGAAGAGAGCCTAGAGTCGTGCCCTCCAATGCCATTGAATATTTGTCCCCTTGGAAAAGGCTGCCCATGAAAATTCTCATGTTGCTGAGAGAGAGAGAATTGTTGTCCTTGCTGAGACATATGCATAATTAAAGACCTGTTTACTTGTTCATTGCTGATGCCTCCTGGCAATGAGGATCTTGTTGTCTGAGGAGATGGTAAGTTCAACAAACCTGATATTTCTTCCCCAACTTGTGAACACATATTTCCATATGGTTCAACCAATTGGTGTGACTGCCCTAACTGTCTTGACTCAATACTGTTGGAAAACCCAGAGAAGTAACCGAGACCTCTGTTCATTTGCTGTACCGATGCAGACCTTGTACTTGAAGCATTGCCAGAATTCAGAAAACCCATTTGATCAAAAACAGGCATTCTTAAGCCAGTATTAGTCACTCTCCTTGAACCAGAACTCAGAGCTGATAGATTCTGTGGCAGAAGCTGACCAGAAACAGCGAGAGCTTGGAGATCAAAGCCATCAACTGTACCAACTGACCGAAATGTTGCATCTTGAGCACTTGTGAAAGGTCCGTCAAGTCTGTCCTGATGCTGTGGAACACTTAATCTCCTCAAATACAAGCGATATTTCTGTTTATTTTCAAATTTGTAAGCATAATATTTGCAACATTTGATGTACTTAAGACATTTGCTGATAATGAAATGCAGGAATTAAGCATCCACTATTTGACTAACTAAAATGTAATTGCATGCGCAGAATGAATTTGCCAATGGGAAGAGATTGAAAAAAATACTATTCCAGATTACCCACACCCAGTGAATAATGTTGAAATCTTGTACCTGGTCTGCTTGGTCAATTATTTTCATAAGTTGATTCCTGTGATTGTTACCACCATCTCACCTCTTTATTTAATGCTATGCAATAACAAATACATCTATAATGGCAGGAAAAAGTTAAGAAAATATTTTACTACAATATTTTCTTAGTAGTTAGGAGTTTGAACCGTGTATTTCAGCATATCACAAATTAGTTGCACATCAGTTATCCAAGCAAATCACATAATGAAGGACAGGATATCATTCTTGAGACCATGATGTTTTTTGCATTAAACTCAACAAAACTCTAGGAGGCAAGCAACATCCCAACACTGAGCTGCAACACAAGGCCAGCTCAGGTGTGAGTTGTTTGGAAATTAACTGTTGCAAGAAATCCAATTAATCTAGCATCATCAAACATCAAATCCAACTTGTAGTTTTATAGACTCTGAAAAGAATTAGCAAAAGAATAGTCTTTGTCAAAATTATTTGTCTAACATTGAGCAACTTTCAAAACCAGCAATTTGTTTCCTTTGTCAAAAATTTGATATAGCAGTTCTAGACTAAGAAAAAATTTCTAGTTAGGAACAAATAACAAGAAAATACCCTAATATCTGAAGAAATTAAATAAAAATGATGGATCTGATGTCCACTGTTCACAAAATATCACCACAAAATTGGATAAATTATTACATCTCCTGTTGATTAAGTCCGTTGTTTCCAACAAAAAATTAATTGAAACTGATGTCCATCTCTTACCAATATCTGTGGAAACCAAATATGATATTCCTTTCTATCAGATTGTCTTAGTGTAAGCATAACTTTAAACAGAGATTATTGGTAGCTGCTCAACATTCATCGCCTTATCCATGTCTGTTGAATATACATTCTTACTAACATAAAACTCAGTTTCTCTTCTCTTCAAACAACCATAACAATAAAGAGTAAGCAGTAAGCAACCACACATTGAACCCTTGGACCTAGCAAGTTATCCGGTAATCAGGTCAAGTGAACTGTCTTCGAGGGACCTATGTATTGTTTTTATAATTTAAACTTAGTGAATTTTTGTTTCAGCAAGACTATAGGTTGTTTAATTTTGTGTGTATAGATTGAATCGATACCACTCCTAAATTGGCAACATTCTCAATATAACTAATTTATTCAATCATACTTAATTCATAAAGATATTACAATAGTCATTTTCTTACACAAAGAAGTAAACAGAAAGTATCAGCACATCAAGGAACAAATATATAATTGATGATCAGGGAAGCAACATGGTCTTTTGAGTTTTGAACTGCAGGGGTTCAAAATAAAATTCACTATTTGAACCAAAAGGAACTCAAGAAGTCTTTTCTTTTTTGTCTTTTTGAAGTTCAACTCATATTGTAGTTAATGAATAATGGAAGGACAAGGATTGTCACTAGAATATGGTAACAGAAAGCAAAAGAAAAGTTCTACGCAGTTATTAACTTGTATTTATTTTTTAAAATAAAACTCAACCATGGCACATTGTAATCCCTCATACATGCAAATCTGAATTGAGATTTTATACAAATTAATGACCTCATGAATATTTCCTTCATCGGTTCAATGATAAAAGTGTCTACATAAGAATTGAGTTATACTTTTCCCCGCGCTTGAATAATCCAGTGTCAGAAATAGAAAGATAAGAGAACTGCCTCATCTCCAGATACATGGCAATGAGGTATACGAAACCATACTTGCTTCCAAAAGTACAGACTGATTTTATAATTTTTTAAACTATCAAAATCTGCTTGATTTCATGTCACAGATAAACATACACCAAAATGGTTTCCTTCTATCAACCATGGACTGATGTTTAGTTTAGTTTTATCTTCATCTGTCCATATTATACTTGTAAATCATAGCAAACAACATCACTTATCCACATCAGTTATATGCAATAGTTTAGTGCCATATTATCTTCACTCTTCATCTCCTTCCAATCTTGCATATGTTTCTCAATTGCTTTACTCATGTAGCAATTGCAACATAACATAAAAAACTTGCAGATACAACAAGGATATTGATAATACAAACATTAAGGGACCTAACATCCTATTTCATAAAAGAAAATGTGGATGACGTAGAAAGTTTCAGAGTCAACAATTTCATATTCCTTGGTTATATAAATCAAAAAGATAACGTGGATGATGCTCCTGGAGGTTTGAGATTGATAACAATAGTAATTTTGGTTTAATGCCATCAGACATGAAGGACCATCACACTGTTCACCAGTGCAAAATGGTTCAGATACAATATATGCTCGATCCAAAAATCAACAAGGGCCCTAAGCAATCAAAAGTATTATATGCATGTCAACCTAAGTGAAGATTTTATACTGGAGGAAAATTTATGGGTTGCAGAATCCTTAGAAATTTTCATCAATTATTGAGATCCATGAATAGGATTTGGCCAGTTCTCTCAGCAACCAGCTACAAACAAAGAGAATCCATCCATCTCAGGGAAACTTCACAACAGTAACGTATAACATTGCATTATGTATACATGTCTTCCAATAAAAGCTAACAAGTCCATCCATCCGATAACTATGTTGCTAAGTCCTTGAATGTTCATTAAGTAGAATTATCTTTTGTGTTTATTACTTCTCCGCATGATTGATGCCATGTCTATTAGAGACGAGTTTTTGTACTCATGTAAATAACTCAAACTGATTCTCAGAAATGAAAGTATGATAATTGTTTAAAACTCTTGTTGTCTTCCTGAGTTATTCAGTTATCCTATCTACGTTGATTTGAAATATTTTTTATCACAACCTCAAATTCATAATTTGAGAAAAGACAATGAGTACTGACTTTATGTATGTCTTTCAGTTCATATGCAATAATTTACAATTCATAAGAAAATATGTTCTTATCTTACATGAGATGAATAGAGTTAAATTCACATGATTTGCTGGTCATGAAGATTTAAACAAATATTTAAATCTAGTATAGAATATGAGCAGACATAATAATCCAAAGTAGAACTGCTAGTCAAGTATGATGACAGTGGTTCCATACCTGCAGGTGACTAGCAACATTTTCCCGAGTAAGCCCAGCGACTTTCATCAATTCAAGAATTTTCTTTGGAACTGCTTCTGCAGAGAACAACAAGTATCATGAATAAAGAAATACAGCTTTGATTTTGAATCTTGACAAATTTTCGCCAGGATAATAAATATGAAGTCTATTGTTTGGTGACTGAGGATGCACAGTTCTGCAGGTAAATGAGTATAGCAAAAACGTTAAAGAAATGCTCGGTTGTCCGATTACTAAGATAAAACCTTAATTAAAGACATCGATTAAATAAAATGTGAGAACTCATACTATCAATGCCCAATTGGTTGACAGCGGTCACAAATTGTTGGTGCAGTTCTGAAGACCACACCACTCTTGGTTTCTTCGTCTGGGAAGGATCTGCCTGCTCATCAACATCCTGTTCGTCCTCCTCCTTTCCTTCCTTCTTTCTCTTTATGTTCTTCAAATTCTCACCACATCCGGAGGTCGCATTGTCACATTCCTCCATAGCCCTTTTGTGCCTTTCACTCTCCCTTTGGTTCTCCTCGAAACTCCCCGAATGCTCCAACTCTTTCAATTCGAACCGCTTCTTCCTCACCACGTGCTGCCATATATTCTTTAATGGCTCGATTCTCACAGGCTTTATAAGGTAATCCACGGCGCCGTGGGTGACACCCTTCATGACCACGTCCTTGTGATCGTCAGCCGACATCACTGAGCAAAGAGAACAAATCAAAAACAGCCGCAATGCCACACAACCAGCCGTCGTCACGTCGCTGTGCACTTACTGATGACAGGGAGGTCCATCTCCAATCCGATGTGCTCGAGCAGCTTGAACCCGTCCATGTCCGGCATGTAGACGTCGCTGAGGACCAGGTCGAACCACCCCTTCCTCTCGCGAAGCATGGAGAGCGCCGTCACCGCGCACGAACATGTAGTCACTGCAACACGACCAATCAACACGAATCCTTTCTAAACGCACATCGAAGACAAGTTTCTGTAAGATGGAGAGCAACGGAAGAGCGCAGTACGGAATACAAAGGAAGGGGATTGGGGGGGTGGGGTGGGGGAGGGAAGGAAAAGGCTTTAACAGAAGACGGCAAACGCGGGGACAGATGGTACCATCGTAGTGGCACTTGCGGAGCATCATCTCGATGATCTTGAGGCAAGTGGCGTCATCATCGACGAGGAGAACTCGCAAGCCGGCGGGGAACTCAGTGGGCATGCCGCCGCCGGCTGCAGCATCCGGCGGCCCAGTGGAGCTACTGGCGGTGGCTTGGCCGCTGCTGGTTGGGGCGGGATCCATTCGCTCATTCATCCACTCCTCTCCGAAACCAAATCCAGCATTAGATGTCCGCGGAGTCGATCGGAGTGGTTATCGGAGAGAGGGCAGAAGCGGGATGGAGTGGATCTCCTGAGATCCAGAACAAACCAGAAGCCAGATAAAGCACGAGAACAACAGAAGATAGAGAGATCGTTGGACTCCTAAATACTCTGCTTGGTTGTTGGACTCTGGCGCTGTTCTGTTTGATTGCTCTCTCCCTCCCTCTCTCTCTCTCTCTCTCTCTCTCTCTCTCTCTCATGTAAAAAAAAGCTCGCTTACTCTCTCTCTCTTCTCATCTCAAACCTCACCAACATCTCTCACCGAGAAGGGAGGGGAAAGCCAGCTCACTTCCCTCAACTAGCCAACCGTATCCCCTCCCCGCCTCTCTCTCCCTCTCTCCCTCCCCCCTCCCATGAAACCAAATAGGAAACATTCCATCACGCCTCCCTTTTCCTGCAGTCTTAGCTATTCTTGAAACTTGGCATTTTATATTACCAGTCCAATTGACCCAAACAGGTACTTCGTATGATTGAAGCCTCGGTCTTGGATAAGCCTCGGTCTTGGAATGGTCTCATGTACCATTCCATGCATACACATACATGCATCGGTCTCGGGTATGTTCCGATGACCATGTCAATCCCGCGACTCATCTGCAGTTAGTTAATCTTGGAAAAATATAACATTTATATATCATGCTTAAATTAGAGCCTAATTATGATCTATAACTAACATCTATAAGTTATCTGATGTGATTCCTTTTTTACTTCGAGATTTTACGCCATAATTTGGAAAGTAAAAAAAAATACGAATTTTGTTTCTTAAAAAAACTATTTTAGCATCGAATGAAACAGCAAAAAAACAAAAAACAATGGATGATATTTGGCGCTGGAATCCCGATGGACTCATTCATTGCTCATCATGTCATCTTCCCCATTAATGCCCGAGCTGCTATGTGGTCGGACTCGGTCAACCCACCATTGACAACATCAAATCCCTCGAGTTAATCTTGTTCAACCTCAGATTAAGGAAATTATGGCGAAGAAGGTATGATTCATTAGGACAAATATCCATTATTAATATTATAATTACTACTGCTACTCGGTCAATGCCACCGATTCCTTGCTCTTTATGGCCGAAGCCATGCTGAGTAGATTAGCCCTCTTAAACGTGGTAAAAGGGGCAAAAGGTAAAAGGATTAAAGTAAAGACACAAGGCAAAGGGCAAACGGCGTTCATGCTTTGCCGTTCCGGATTTTGTAGTACGAACGAGACCCACTTCTCCGAACTCGCATCCCAAACCCTCCCCGTGATTGGCGGGTCCCACTGGATCACCGTCGCTGCGGCCAATCACGAGTCAGATAGGCCGGACGGGGACGACACGAGCGGGGTTGGGGGCAGGTGTCGTTTTACTTTACTCTGCCGGCACAGGATAACTCGTCGTCACCATCCCGTGGCATCGCAGGTGTAAGAGCCTCGTAACTATAAGCGTGAAATTGTGGGGTCTCCGCGGCGCATCACACCGGCCCGCACGTACTTTATACGATGCGTCGTCTTAGGCTGTACGTAGCTTTTGGAGAGCGCCATCCGACGGTCTCCGTTTAGTTTGCATTTCGCACTCTCTGATACGAATTAAATCCCTATAAATTCAACGACAGAGAAACAATAAAAAAAATATACTTGATTGCTTTTTTATTTATTTACTCATATACGAGTTTTAATTTTTAGGTGAAATTGGTGCCAATTTAAAGTACCTATCGAACATAATTACTTAGTTAATTTTGATACCAAACAACCGGCTTTTTTTTTTTGGTTGAAAGGATAAATATTATCCAAAAATTTATTAGCTAATTTATTATTATTATTATTATTATTATTATATATACATATATATGTATACATATATATATATACATATATATATATACATATATATATATACATATATATATATACATATATGTATATATATATATATGTATATATATTTATATATATGTATATATATATATGTATATATATTTATATATATGTATATATATATATATGTATATATATATATGTATATATATATATATGTATATATATATATATATATATGTATGTATATATATATATATGTATGTATATATATATATATATAGAGAGAGAGAGAGAGAGAATGAAAAATGGCTTTGTGGTGGATTTTGATTAAAATGGAGTTTGGATTCCACATCTAAGTTCGAGATATTATTGTTGGGTGTTTTTGGTTTTCCGATTGTAGAGGGAGACATTTATAATATATAGTGTCATAATTCACATAGGTTACCTCATGGAAAATCTAAAATCGAAATCCAAACAAATAATGTTACGTATCACTTAACATAATTGAACCCATAATGAAATAAAAAAACATCCACTACATGTTTCGATTACATCCTCAAGTGCATCCAACTTCAAATAATATTATTATTATGATTAAATATATGCTTAAGAAAAATTTTAAAGACACTTTCTCCAAGCAAACCCATATACAAGCACTTTAAAGAAATTTTAAAATGGAGATATGAGAAAATCATATCTCAGTAAACTACTAACAAAACTTTTGATTAATTAAAGTTGTTAGAACATCAAAAGTTACCAAAGGTTGATTTTCTCTAAAATGATTATAATCTTTTGATGCCATTTTTTATGTGAAAATTTATTATATTGATATTTATAAAGGAGAAATGTAAGCATAAAAACATATTCAAAAATTTTAATGTTAAAAATCTGAAATCAAATAATAAAAGATCTAAATTTATGATATGTACATTTGGATATCATTCAAAAGTTTGTATCTAATTTACGAGCATATCATTATCGAATTCGAAAGTTATAGTAATATCGATTTCCTCTTTTTCTATCGAATCACTATGAACGATAAAGTTATGAACAAATAGGATACAAGAGATGATATGTAATCTCTTAATAATATCATGTATTTTTCTTCTCTAATCTGCATTTTCACATATTGTATATTTAGTTTCTAAGGGGTTTTGTCTATTTATAGGTAAGAGTAGATACTTATGAGAGTTATTTCCATCAAAATATCTCCTAAGGAATCTTATCATATTTACTTTTTATTGATGGATAATCATAATTAAAATTTAATCATATCCATAATATATCCTATCTAATTAGATAAAATCACATAATATATCTTAATAAAATTTTTAAAATTTTTAATTTTAAAAGACTAATGGACCTTAAAATTTATCTTTTAAGTTAAAATATTTTTTTTTAAATGATAACTCATAATTCATGTGACTTTAGAAGTTCTACTATATTATTAGGGCTAATTATAAATTATCCTATATAATTAGCTATCTTTATCCCTACACTTACAAAGGTTATATTAATATTCCTAATATTACAGAAAATAAAATATTTAACTTTATTTTTTCGTATATCATAAATCCTATAGTATTTCTTTTAACAAAATCGAAGATATGAGGATAAACAAAACTAATTATTTTATTATTCATAAAATAATGATCCCACCGAGAGATCTGAATACTAAAGATAGTTTAATTACAATAGGTCCATACTTAACTCATATTATTATTATACAAAAGTCCTTTATAAGATCCATAATTAATTTAGTTCTATAAATAAATAAAAATTATTGAATATTACATTTAATATGTACCCAACCGGATTTTTTTTCCCCCAAACTAGTTGAAGCATGTAACAGAATCAGAGTCAGAGAAATCATTCTTTATCTTTGGATCAATAATTCTAAATTATAAATAATTCAATATGTTAAGAGGACTATTTTTTATTTATGATTTGACGGTGACATGGTGGACGACCCAACCATAATTATCATGTGGTCATCAATGCAAGTTTGACTTGGGTGTTCGTCCCATGCAGACTAGACTCTCTTCATTAATGAGTCTCCCCCTATCTATCATCAATCAAAAGTTTTTGGATCTATCGATGTTTTTCTTAATATAATTAGACACATTAACTGGTTCTCATCCATTACTCCTCATTTGATTGACTTGAGCTTTCAGATCATTCCTATATTACAAGTTATATTTCATACGAACAGAAAGGTAAGTCTGCATGAGTAGGACATACTTTTAGTGTCTTTTTCTTCGTTCTTCCTTTTGGTATTTTAGTGATCGACACACTACAGTGGTCTCAATGCGCACGTCGATGCGGCGATTCGCCTTCACATCTGAAACGCATGTCCTTTTCTACTTAATTTGGACAGATCGTATTAACATTACATTTCATATTCTACATCGTCTAATAATTATTTGATATGTGATGGGCTCGAGCAATTCCACTCACGGATCCATCCTGTTTCGTCACGGAGACCGAGCAGCAGATCCGGCAGAGCCCATCTCGGTTTCCGAGACGGATCTCCCCATCATGCCCTTCCTCAGAACCTCACGTGCTGCGGGTGCTGGCATCTATAAACGTCAAACAGCAAACTCATCCCACCCGATTCTTACACGTGTCCCCCGGAGCTTAGCCACTGCAACACGTCACGCCTCGACAGGGCAATTGACGTGAAACCTACCCGTGGAGTCTGTCCACACGTTGCCGGTGATTCTGTTGTCTCGCCTGTCGCCGCTGGGTAAACAGGAGGGTAGATGAGTTTGACAGGTAGGAGAAACGGGAAATCTCGTAATGGTGTTTTCGTTGTTCCGACCGAAATGGATGTCCTTTTAGGAAGGCGATTACAAGTGCCAACCAACATCGCCTTTTCGCACACGGAGAGATTGTCCACCGCTTCTTCCCCTTCTCTCTCTCTCTCGGGTCGTGGATCTGTGGGTGGGGCTACGATTAGGGTGCTCGGGGAAGGAGGACTCGGTTCGTGGAGGGAAAAGGAGCTGCGAGGGTGACGATCGATCATGGAATCCGATGCGTGGAGCCGATTGTCACCGGCCGCATCGAAGCGCCACCAGACCGCGCCCCATTCGCGATACGCCGACGCGTCTCGGGATCTCAGCCTTCGCGGCTGGAGAGGTGGGTGAGGGGATTAGGTGCTGCCGGGGAGGTTTGCGTGTTCCTTGCGCTGTTTTTTGAGTGGGATCTTCTGATCGTGTGTCTCGGTTGGTAGATTTGTATCTTGGGTTCGAGGAGTTAGATGGAGGCGAGGATGACCCGCGCGCGGAGTTCCCTTGCCCGTTCTGTTCTGAGGATTTCGATATCGTCGGGCTTTGCTGCCATATCGACGATGAGCACCCCGTGGAGGCTAAGAATGGGGTATAACTTCATTTTTCCAACCTGATTAAGATGTATCGATCAAGAACATTTTTTTATTCTCTTTTTCCGTTGTGATGTTAGCAAAAAGACTTTCTTTTGGGATGAGGAGAAGCTTAAATTTTCATACGGGAATTGTTGG